TATTTTTTTTTTTTTTTAAGTTTCTCTGGCACACACCCACTGTGTGATCTTGGGCAAGTTACTTGGGTAAGATCCCTCAATTTCCTCATCAATAATATGAGTATAACACCACCTCCAGAGTTGTGCTGTGGATCAGGGAAGAGCTATGTATAGAACATCTGGCCCCATGCCTGGCATGTGATAAGAATGCACTAAGATTTATCTGCTTGCTACTTGTAATATTATCATTCTCAGTAGCATTCACAGAAATTATTTTCAGGTCTCTACCATTTTATAAGGATAAAAAAAAAATCCCTTATTATTATGCTGTGTAATAAATTCCAAATAAAAGTAGTAGAAAAGGAATACTTTCAGAAATGGCAGACCATAGGGCCGGCTCTGTGGCTTAGCGGTTAAGTGCGCGCGCTCCACTGCTGTCGGTCCAGGTTCGGATCCCGGGCGCGCACCAACGCACCGCTTCTCCAGCCATGCTGAGGCCGCGTCCCACATACAGCAACTAGAAGGATGTGGAGCTATGACATACAACTATCTACTGGGGCTTTGGGGGGAAAATAAATAAATAAATAAAATCTTTAAAAAAAAAAAAAGAAAGAAAGAAATGGCAGACCATAATTTAAATGGCAGAGTATTATTTAACCTCCTCAATGTGTGAATACCTCCAGTTTCCACAAATGTGATGACAGCACTTCCAGACCGCATATCATACTCCACGCTTTCCACTTCTCCACCTCCGTGTCGGGACTTACAAAAGCTCAGTTCTAGCTTGTCTCTCATCTGATTTTCAGGCAACTCATCAGGAATTTCAGTAACATTGATCTTCACTTTAGATATTTCTACATAAACCTGGGAAATCGTTTCATATTCAGAAAGATGGATGAGAAAAGTATCCATGTTTCAGAGAATTCTAAAAAGCTTCAATCACCCTGTTACCTGGAATCTGACTCCTGACTTTAATGGAACCGGCTTGGCCATAACCTCCACATATATATCCTCCATCTGCACATGATGTTTCCCCATTCTGATCACATTTTGGGCAACTGAAAAATAATATAGGAAGTATTAATTTCCAATATTTTAATAAATTTTTACACTTTTGCTTTAAGAATAAATTGTCCTGAATGTTTCCAATTTTCTTTCACATTAAAGGTTCTAATTTTTAAATTTTTCTTAGGATTTCCAAGTGATAACAGTCTTGCCACCAAACTAAGATATATTTGTTAAAATACATCAGCAAAAATTATAATATACAAATTCTCATCAAGTTCTAGACTCATCTCTAAAGAGAGAGCCCAGTAATCCTTCAAAACTTCATAAATTATTTCAGCACAGCCGCACACCCTTCCTTTCCACTGTTGACAGAATTACTGGAGAATTCCCCTAGTACATTAAAGCTCAGCCAGAAATTTCTTCCATGTTGAGTAAGCTGGGAAAACTTCAGTGTCATTCTGACAATCTTATTTATCATTTGTCACTCCTCCTTAATATGTTACAAGCATCAAAGAAATAACTATTCATTTTTGTCTCTTTCTCAAGGATTACATGTTAAAGACCACATAGGCTTGAATATCAAAAAGTGAATCTTTTTTTTTTTTGCCATATTTTAATGAGGAATTCTGCTTTCACTAAAATGCTCTTGAGACCATTCACTAAAAATTTGATAGCCTTGCTATACCAATCACAAAACTATCAAGTCTAATTTATCCATGCAAATGGGAGAGGCTCAGTAATATAATTATGCCAAAAATCATTAAGACTCCAAACAGCCACTATATGTCAGTTTAAAATGCATGTGGGTGTGGGTTTATTTTTAATTATGTGACACGAGAGTTTATAACTCTTCAGTTGTTAATATTTGGAGCTGCTTACTCTAATTTTTCATGAAGATAAGAGATGCCCATTCCTGGTCTTATAAATTTCACATGTGTTTATGACAACCAGATATCACACCACAGCTGGAAGAAGAGAGAAACGAGGCTAAGAAGGCAGGGCGTTGTCATATGGGAATTCAGACTCATTGTACCATGATGACTATAACTTGTTATATGACAACAGGCAACAATAACAGAAAATATCAATGAAGTAATAATCAGATGATGCTTTTCCCCTCCCAACGCCTCCCCAGCTGGTGATCTGACGCAGCTGAGAGGGACCACTTGTGTTTCAACCTTTGTGGCTCTGATTGTCAAAAGCCAACTCCTATTTAATTGTGTATAAACCCAAAGTTGTCCCAGGAGAGCAGGACCTTGGAACCATGCCAAGAGTGGAAGCAGTGACACATGTTTCTGAAGAGAATCCTATTCCCAGCATTCCCAGGTAATTCCTGCAGAGAATTCCTGCTTCCCAAAACCTCACATCTTTTAGTCATATCCCAGTTCCCACTGCTAACTGCCAACGTGGCTCTTGGTCTCCTCTTCCACCCTCAGCCACAGGACTGGACCAGGGTGGATCCTGGGTGAATGAACAGTATGTGCATATACTGACCTGCTAGAATGCCTTTCTTTTTAACATTTACTTTCAGGCTATAGTGATGGACCAATCGTCAGGAGATGTGAGTTATAATCACAGATTCTCAGAATCTGAGCACTGGAAGGGCTTGTGAAGGAAGACCATCTGGTCCCACCCCATAACTTGACAAATATAAGAACGAAAGCCCAGGATGATGGGCTGCTCGGAGGACTGCTGGTCCAGTGGAAAGTACATGGGTACTCAGGGTTTGGCTCTCAGCTCTGCAATTTATTACTGTATGGACCCTGAAAAAGTTCTTTATCTTGTTTAAGCTTCTGTTTCCTTATCTGGAAAATTCCTAACATGTAGCAATAATAACAGCTAACATTTATTGGTTATTATGTGTCAGACACTGTACTAAGTATTTTATCAACATTTCTCATTTAATACTCAAAGCAGCCCCATGAGGTAGGTACTACCACAAAGCCTGTCATAAAAATCTGAGATTTATAAAAAACCAAACCCATATCACACTTCTAGAAAGGAGCAAAGCTGTCCCTCAAAGCCAGATCCTCCTCATTAAGGCGCCCCCAGCTCTGAACAGGGTCCTACACCAGGGCGGACCTAGCAAACATCAGGTCCCATCCCAAATCTCTGACTCCTGGGCTCTTCTCATTCACTGATCATGTGCCCTTAGGTAAACCACTTAAACACCTGAGAATCTGTTTTCTTAGCTATAAAATGTAAAAAGTAACTCTCCTATCCTATCGCTTTCATAGTCGTGTGAGTATAAAATGAGATGATGTCTGTGAGAACTCTCTGAGAAATGTGTAGAGCTCTACTACCTTAAGATACCACTACTAGTATTATCATTTGGAGGGAGCAGGGGGAGTAGAAAGACACTGGTACCGGACATCACAACACCTAGGGCTTGAGTCCCAGAGTCACTGCGTTCTGAATGAGTGATCACATTCAAGTCACATAACACCTCAGAGTCAGTTTTTCATCTGTAAAATGGGGATAATCATACTTGTCTCAGGGTGTCCTATGAGGATGAGATGAAATGATCTATGTAAAAATTGTGAAGCAAAAGCCAAATATCTATGAAAGCTCTTTGAAAGTCCGAGTACTTTCCAAAGGTAACATGGTCACGTTCTTGACCATTAGTCATACCTTCTTCTTTTTCAAAGGTGATAAGCGCTTGTCCTTTTTGTAGCTCATAAGGAACTTGCGAGTTCACTTGAAAGGAACAGGAGACATTTAAAAACTGACTGTCATCCTCAGAATTCTCTGCAGATGTGAATTTCACCTTTGTGTCGGGAATATCCTCTTTAATCTAATTCAAACAGAAATGTTTGATTAAAATCAAGACAAGAAATAACTTAACCCCTTCCAGTGTTAACGTGAAGTGATCATCCAATAATTCATTCTCCACTGATTTCAGAACCCCACATAAGACTGTGTGGTCTTATGTAATATCTTTATTAATATCTTTAATATCTTTAGTAATTGCTTCTTCCCAGGTAAGTATTCAGTAATGTAATCAGACCCTTTAATATTATTTCACAGATGAAATTATAAGTATATAATCTCTCACTTTTTCTAATCAATGTTTAAACTGGTCAATATTGTGTGGTGTTTGATTCTAAAGTCTAAATCATCCTTGTGGATAAGCACCTTTTAAACAACTGTACCAATAATAAGCTATCTCACAAGAGAATCACTGGACAGTGTATTTATTCTCACTACAAAGAGGTATGAAATAGAGTCAGGTGTATACTACGGTTATTTTGATAGCAAACTCAGATCATTTCCTCCAAAAAGCAAGACTCCTGAATTCTGTGATTTAAAATTTACCAAATTTAAATTCTCCCTCCCCAACACCTGCCCAGCAACTTTTTAACCATTACTACAACTTAGGTTTATAAAAATGTGAAGGGACACTATCAACAAAATTTGTAATCTGAAGGATAAAGTTAAGTGGTTATACTTGTCTGCTTAAAATCATTGGGATTAACAGACATATACAAGTACACATACATGCACAAATGAGTGAGGTGTTTGCATTTCTATTTCCCATGGTTACTTTACATGCTGAAAGAGAAGGTGTTATTGCAGAGGGATGAGAAATATTCAATGAGTCATTTGATCTAATCTTACATTTATTCTATATCTTTACATGTAACTTTAGTAGAATTTCTGATGACCATAAGTCCGATTTCAAAACAATCTGTAATGTCTGAGAAAAGGCAGAGTGTTTCCCAATAACATGGAAATATCCAGTGTATCTGGAGAGGTCGAGAGCTTTTGGAGTGAGAGAGAAAGCGAGAGTGCCCGATGCTAGTCCCGAGGACACTGTGGCAGAGAGCACGTCACTCAAGCTCTCTGGCCCACAGTTTCAGTCTCCTGTAAAGTGGGTCAGCTGAGCTGGCTGGGTTCTCGACGCCCTCTGAGGTGTAAGACTAACTGATTCTGGCTCCGGTCTGAGGAATCACCAGAATCTCAACAGAGTCTTCTCTAAGTCTCAGAAACACAGGAAACCTCGCCTCCTACTATTCAATAACCTACCCCCCATTTCACAAACAACAAGTAACAACGTTTTAAGCATTTAAATTGTTTAAAGAAAGTATTTTTTTTAACAATATGAGTTGTTATGAAGAAAAAAGAGGTGAAAGTTATGTGTAATTCAAATACAGGGAAATTTAGGAGAGAATTTAAATGGTGAAGATATATGTCCAATTTCTTTTAACTGTGAACTCATTTAAATTACGGATGAGGAGACCAATAAAGGCACTTAGCGAGAAGACCAAGAATTTGATCCAAAAGTGATTGATAACGACCTTTTTTGTTGTTTTTGCATTAACATATACATAAATATTAAAAAGTGCATCATAAGTATACAGCAAGATGAAATTTTACAAAGTGATCACACACATGTGACCAGCACCTAGATCAACAAACAGAATATGACCAACATCCCAGAAGCCCTCTTGGGTTCCCTTCCAGTTCCTACCTGCCTCCAAGGGTAACCACTATGCTAACTTCTAACACTGCATTTGTGCTTTATTTATATGGTAGCATATGGTATGCCTTCTTTTCTGTTTTTTGGCTCAACATTGTGCTTATGAAATTCATCCATGTTGTTGCATATAGTTGTAGTCTGTCCATTCTCATTGCTGTTTAGTATTCCATTGTGTGAATACACCCCAATTTATTCATTCATAAAGGAGGGACAGTTGGGTTCTTTTTAGTGTGGGGCTCTTATAAACAGTGGCGCCATGGATGACCATAATGTCTTAGAAGTGATTTTTGTATAATTAAATTGCTTTTGCTGAAAAATGGTGTCATCCATTGAAAATGTGATACATAAAACAATTAAAGGAGTACCTGGGAGTTTCTGGTGGCCTCTTGCAACTCAGCTTCAAGCTTTTGAATCTCCTCCTTTAACTGATTATTTTCCTTTGCAATTTCTTCAATTAATCTCTAAAAAGATATCAAATAGCACCAAAAAATTAAACTGCTCCCGACTGCATTTTTCGAAATGAATTAAATAAGCTAAATTTCTGTCACCCTGAATAAGGCATAGAAAGACATTAGACAGTCTCAGAATGAAGATGATCACATGAATAACACATTTGCTGAATGTTTTACATCATCATCTGTCGATTCTCCTACCACTGCCAGGTATTATTATCTCATTATACAAACAAGGAAACCACCCTCCACCCTAGACCAAAGGTCACAGAAATTTTTATAGTACAGCAAGAATTGAGACCCAGACCTAGCTATTTGTGACTACAATATGACTTCTAAATTGCACTGTAATTGTGGCCATATGTTACTCTGGGACAATTAAAAAAAAAAAATTGCTGTGATTCCCACAGTACAGCTGCCCTGACATGCCAGACACACCGCCTTGGGTAAGTAGTTGAAGCTACCTGACCCTCTATTCCCTCTCAGGTCTGATCAGATAATTGCTAACTAAGCTCTTAACTCCTAGGCACAAATCAAAGAAAAGAGGGAGGGAGGGAAAAAGCAGCTAATGTTGTAAGCCTTGTAAGAGACAGAATAGAAATATGATTCTTGTAAGATCTGAATAATGGAAGTAAAAAAATTTTGAAAAGGCTAATATCCTCCCAAATTCAAGGTAATGTTAGACAAAGTCATATAAACATGCTTCACTGCAAAACTAGTAGATACAAATTAATTTTTAATAATACCCAGTAATTTTTCTTTTACCTTATTTTCTTCATCTTTCATAAATTCTTCATCTAGCCAATGCTCCTGAAGAATTTGTTTTTTGTCATCTTCATCAGCTGCCATGATTCCCTAATTATCATAAACAAATTAATTTTAAAAATAGTATATACACACAAATTCAAGAAGAAAGAAATAACACCTTTTACCATTTTCCAGAAGAAACATCTCTTCTTTGCTGTATCTTTTTTCCTATCATCAAAGTCTTTATTATCATGTGGCTTATATCCAAATAAAGTCTATACTTAAAGTAACTTTCACACTTATATAAGAGGGTTCTAAAAGTCCTTTGCTTTTCAACATAGTAATAGAAAATAATGGGTATTAACATTCCTTTGTAGTTCACATCTCAATCATAATCTGATGCTACATTTTAAAAGACTACTATTTTAGTCTTCTAGCCTTTTTAAAAGGTTTTGATTTAAACATTTAATTATCCGAGGCATATGTGTGTGGTGATGGATTGTAATTAGTATTTGGGTGGTGAACATGATGTAATCAATGCAGAAATAGAAGTATAATGATGTACGCCTGAAATTTATAAAATGTTACAAACCAATGTTACTGCAATAAAAAATTAATTAAAAATTAAAATAAATAAATATTTAATTATCCCTATTGTACGCCCCACATGTAAATGGAGTAAAAAGGCCTCCAAAACACCCTTCCTTTACATGTACAGAGGTTCTTACCTGGAGTTTCCACAAACCCTTCCCCGACTTCATTCATTTGGACAGAAAAAAACTACATCTGTACTTCTAATAACCTCTGATTGCAACTTAGCATTCTCTTCAAACATGAATATAGCCTATAAGCCACGTAGTATTTGCAGCAAGATAAAAATCACCAAGACAGCACAGATATTTTCATAAAATACAACAGTTGCAGATATTCTGAAATATTGTTTGTGTTTAACCCTCTTCAAAATTATGGTAGTTATTAAACTCACTACTAGGTCTTGTGATATACTATGATATATTAATACATATTACTAATAAAAAATTTGCTTTTTTAATATTCTGATAATCATATTTCAAAATAATTCGTTTCCTTTGTAATTCTATGTATTTTGCTTTATACATTTAAAGAACTTTTTTTTTTTTAGAAAGGTCCATAGGCTTTATCAGACTGGCAAAAAATCCGTGGCACAAAAAAAGTTAAGAACCCATGTCTGCATATGAATTTACTGAGACGGAGAAGTCTCAGATCAAAAATGAAACAAGGAATATCACAACTATTTTTATGTTTTTAGAAGCACATTAATAACCAGTCTGTAATGTAATCTTCCAAGATTTCAAGTGGCTAAATTCTCACTATTCCTGTAGGAGAAATAGAAAAGACATTTATTCCTCTTTAAAAATAAAATAGAAGACTAGAAAAAAAATTAGTCGTGTCTTACTTTACCCAGTGTGAATACAAGCAGTGTCAAAAAAAGTGGGGGGTCACACGGCACTCAGACCTTGGTTTCTAATCTATTCTCCAATGAAACAAACCAGGGCTCCTTGGACGATTCTACCTCTAGGGCAGAAAATATACAAGATGAGCCTGGAGCTCCCAGTAGCCAAACGTACATAAACAGGATCTATCAAATAAGTAAAAATATGGAGGATAATAGGGGTCAGGTTTTTCATTGTTAGCAAAGGTAACTGTAAATATGGAAAGGGAGAAAACCAGAATGAACGCTATGGATTAGAACTGGAGATATCGGTATAATCTCATGATTTCTGATAGATGGATTAATAGAAAGATACAGAGATATAAATATAGATAAAACTGTGTTGTGTGCACATATACATACTGTACATATCCATCTGTATATATATTCCCTACCTCTGTCTGCTGAGAGGGCCTGAAGCAAAGACAATAGCAATGAGCACACCTAGCACTCAGAATTTGCTTTCTAATACCATTCTCCACAAGGTACCAAGACTGTTCAGAAATGGCTGATTTCAGGACTGGAACAGGGAAAGTATAAAACGAGCATCTTATGGTGTCAGAAAGCAAGAAAGTGCTCAAAGAATGATGAGAACATGTCAAAAAGACAGAAAATCCAGCTTGAGGAAGTTCTCACTGGACAAATCTGAGAATAAATTAATCATAAAAATAAATAATGACAGTAATAATTAAATCCACTGAGTAAAATAGAAAACTATGAGTCCATACTGACATACAGACAGACAGACATATATAAATTGAAATTTTGGTGGGGAAAGGACCATTTAGTTAGTCTCAGAATCCTTCCTCACAAAATATTTATTAATTTCAAAGGGGAAATGTGTAACTTCACAGTGAAGAAGCCAGGCAGACGCCACCAGAATAAAATAATCAAAGTAAATAATGAGATAAATCATCTGCCATCTGATAGGCTGCACTGAGAACAAAGCATGACTTCTATGATATTCCTGCCAAAGATACATAATCTAAATCTAAGCATGAGGAAACGTTAGACAAACTGGCTTGTTCTCTTCAAAAGTGTCAAGTTCAAAAAAGCCAAGGAAAGACTGAGAAACTGTTCTAGGCAGAAGGAGATGAAAGAGACATCACCGCTAAATGCAATGCATGATTCTGAACTGTGTCCTTTTGTTACACAGGATATTATTGGGACAACTGGCAAAATTTGAATTGGATCCAAGGATTAGATGGCAGCAATGTGTCAATATTAATTTCCTGATTTTGATCACTGTATTGTAGTTATACAAAGAATACCTTTTTTGGAGGAAACGTATACTCAAGAATTTGGAAACTTACAGGAAAAAGAAAAGTTGTTTGTATCGTACTTGCAACTTTTCTGTAAGTTTGAGATGGTTTCAAAACATATATATTAGTAGCTCCCTATTACATCAACAACTGCAGAATCCTTATGACGGCCTCCAACATTCATCCAAGGTCTTACACAATCTAACTCCAACTTATTTTCTAGTCTTTCTTAGACAACTCCTAGACTAAGTCTCCTAACCACACTGAACACTCGAAGGGTCCCTCTTCTCCCTTCTGTCCCTCAATATGTCTCATCCTTCCTCCCCTCCCAACCTTAATTTCCACCTAATGAAATCCTACTGTTCTTCAAGGTCCATCCCAAATTTCCGCCAAGTTCTTGAAGCCTTTTCTGATTCCCCCAAGGGACATTAGTTCTCCCTCTTTTACCTTTTTTGGGGAGCTTATTTGTGTACCTGTGTCATTTTCCATGATTAGACGGTCACGACCTTGAGGCCAGGGACCACGTCCACTCCTCCTTGCATCCATTTAGAGCACAATACAAGCTTACACACTGAAAATACTCAATATTTAGAGAATCGTGCAGTATCTTGACTCAGGTAGTTGTTCTGCTCAGGACATCCACGCATATGAAGTTCTCTTATCACACTTCCAGAAAGCAAAAACTGCAACATTATTTAATTGCTTTTTTTAAAGTCAATATTCTTAAGAGCTTGTAATAAAGGCTCTCAATATATTTAACTCTTATAAATGGTCTACTACATGACACCCCCAGAACTTTTTGCATCATATTTAGCATCTCAATACTGTACTGTCCTCTCTTTGCATCAGCGGGATGTACAGTAATAGGCTTCCTTTTATGCAATCAGATCGTAGGCAGAATAACAACCCTCCCAAAGATGCCCACATCCTAATCCCCAGAATCTGTGAGTATGTTAGGTTACACTGCAAAAGAGAATTAACGTTGCTAATCAGCTGACTTCAAAATATGGAGATCATCCTGAATTTTCCATGGTCCCAATGTAATCACCAGGGTCCTTAAAAGTGAACGAGGAAGGCAGAAGAGCAGAGTCAGAGTGAGATGTGACAACACAATAATCGTCAGATGCAACGCTGCTGGCTTTGAAGATTGAAAAAGGGTACCACTGAGCCAAGGAAGGTGGGCAGCCTGTAGAAGCTGGAAATGGCAGGAAAACAGATTTACTCCAGTAGCCACCAGAAAGGAAGGCAGCCCTGCAGACACCTTATTTTAGCCCAGTGAGACCCAGGTCAGATTTCTAACCTGCAGATTTTTAAGATAATAACTTTGTGGTTTTTAAGCCACTAAATCCGTGATAATTTGTTATGGCAGTGAATGAAAAAACCAATACAAATCACCACCATCTATCCACCACCTGTTTTCCTAATATACTCATATCACTGAGGTGGCAGGCCTGATAGAATCCTATCTTCCCATATCTGGTAGGAAAAAGAAAGGAAACGAGGGGAAGGAAGGCAGGAGGTGGTAATTAATAAAATAGTGATAAACATATATAGTTTTAAAAAAACTTATGCATGTTATACAGACAGGGAAACATGGTGTTCTCCTTTGGATGTCTCTTTCAAGAAAATCCCTGAATATTCTGAAACGTGAGGAAAGACTGCCAAACCCTGCGCCTGCCAAGGAGAGTAAATCTCAAGGCATCAGTTTTCCTAAGAACTATCTCGGGAGACACTAGAAGAACGTTGAGGAAACACAGCGGTTTTAAGTTTCAGTTTCCAGAATGAAGCAAAGCACACCAAGGAGACGGGGTCAGAGGCCTGGCCGGCACCCAGAAGGCACCGTGGGCGCAGGGGCAGGCGCGCCCTCTCGGCAGCTTGTCGCCACAGCGACCCAGGCTGCGGGGGGTGGGGCGCGGGGGCGCGGGGGGCGCAGAGCCGCCTTCCGGCGCGCGGTCCCTGGCGCCGCGGAATGCGCCTCCCTCCCCACCCAGGGCCTCGCTAGCCCGGGACTACCAGGAGCAGGGACGGCAGCCGGGAACGGGGAGCCCCACTCACCTGCCTCGGCCCGTCGAGCGCCGCAACGCGGGGCCCAGCGCGCCCGCCTTTCCGGGAAACCTCGGGGGGCGGCGCCGGATGGCCCAGGTCCCCGAGGCTGGTGCTGCCTTATCCAGAAGCGCCTCGGGAGATCCGAGGTGCCGTTGCAAGTGGGTGTCACTCGGATTAACAGCTTGTTCCTTAAAAAAATAAAAGAAGAGGAAGAAGAAAAGGAAAAGAAAACTGTGCTCAAGTAGTGGTTAGTGAAAAAACTAACCACCGCTCGGAATAGCAAACCTGGTGTCTCCAGTAACTGGTTAAACACTAACAAGTTA